GGCTTCAGAAAACCCGGCTGCTAGTCGGGCTTCACGGCTGGCGAGCATCACAGAGGCTGCCCTGCCAAGCAGTGCCTTTTCCTTGTCCATCACCACCCCGTTAACACTGCATAAAATTCGTCGGCAGATGGGGTTTCCTGTCCCACTTTAACCCAGCCAGCACGTCGATTCTGGCTGGCAGAGCACCAGCTCCTTGTGTCGGCATCACCCTTCTGAGGGTCCCGTTCGGTGACCCCTCCTCAAACTGGCTCTCACCCACAGCACAGGCTGCCTAATAGCAGCTCTTCCCTTGTGGTGTGGGTAACTTACCCCTTTTCCAATCCCATACAGAAAAATAAAATGAAAAATGCTATTACATACAGCAGATTGTTTTGTAAAGAGAGGAAGGTAGCCTCTGAGCTTTCCCTATGTTTTGATTTACGGTCACAGTAATGTTTTGAAGGTCACAGTGAGTAGTGATGTCAGAAGTACTGAAGCGTATATTGATCCAAGGCCTGCAACCTGCTAATTCAGCCCTTTACAAATAACAACAGCACTGTTTTACAGGGGCAAGTGGTCTGAAATACGATCTCTTACTAGATAAAAGTTGTGCAACAATGAGAAAGCGTTATTTGCATTCAGATGTATGGTCTTACATTTGGCTGCCTTGGAACACAAATTGTTGGCCTGAGCACACCTTACCAGGCAATCCCCATCATTCTGTAGGAGAATCCTCCTCCATTTCACCACATCTCCAGGCTCTTAGATTTATAAACTATCAATAGGGATTTAGTCTTACAAAAAAAAAATCTATAAAAAGTCTATAAAAAAAAAATTATAAAAAGTTGCTCAGATAATTTCTCTGTATTCTTCCCAGGCTACCCGTCCTTGCTTCCACCCTCTGTAGGCTTCCTTTTTGTGCCTGACTATGTCCAGGAACTCCCTGTTCATCCATGCAGGCCTCCTGGCGTTTTTGCCTGATTTCCTCTTCGCTGGGATGCATTGCTCCTGAGCTTGGAGGGTGTGATCCCTGAATATTAACCAGCTTTCTTGGGCCCCTCTTCTCTCCCTGACTTTTATCCCGTGGTACTCTGCCGAGCAGATCCCTGAAGAGACCAAAGTCCGCTCTCCTGAAGTCCAGGGGAGTGAGCTTGATGTGTGCCCCCCTCGCTGCCCTAAGGATCTTGA